ATTCATGTATATTTATATTTAAAATATTTTCTGATAAACATTAAGTACCGTGTTATCATAGAACCCCGGGTTAGAGTAATTGTTTAAACATTTACTCTAAAAATCTCATATTGGTGATGAAATCAATTTGAAAATTCACAAAAAATTTACGAAAGTGAAAGTTGAGAGGATCTAATAATTTACCACAGTGTACAGAACAACATCATGTATGAAGTATATATATATTAAATAAGTCATAAAAACTATGTTACCATCTGTTGTAAAAATACTATCACTTTTGTACGTAAAATATTGATAAAAAAAGTCTTCAATTCCATGAAAAAAAATCACTGACAAACTCCGCGGGTATCGAACGCCACTAAAAAGTTGTTTTATAGGTTGAACACCATCAAATAATTTCATTCTGCATTTCATATATGTACAGTAGATAAGGAACATCTGGGAAATTCTAGTTTGAATGCCCTTCACAATGACCCAATTCCAGGTAAATAATACTTTTGAACAATATATTTCGAGACGACACGGAAAAGGTTGGTCAGTTCTATTTCTGTGATAAAATCATCTCAACATCTCTTACTGCACTGGTACTAATCTATATTCAAAATAAAAAGGTTAGAAAAACTGCTATGAAATTTTGAATAAAAGCGAGAAAAGATGTTACATTCGGGCCTCCTGTATATTCCAATTAAAATTAAAGTAAAAGAGAAATGTTGTAACTATGGTAATGCTAGACAGGTACCTAACTTTGTTCTGTTATTAAAAAAAGTTTTATACTCGTCCGTAAACAGATTTTCATTTCATTTGTTAAAAAGTGCGATTTTGGGTCAGAAATTGCTAGGAAACCAGTATGGCACAAAACCACAATTCTTTTTCACACCCTAAAGGAGAAAGCTAGAGCTTAGACATTCGACATGAAACCTTGACTGATAGACGGTCGTAGGACAGGGCGGACCGTGAGACAGGGCGGACCTTATGTTTGGACAGGGCGGACCATATTTTGGGACAGGACAAATTGAAAATGTTCTGCGCTAAATGTAGAGGAGTTGTTGGAAAATTTCTCAGATTCTTTTAACTCTTTCACTGAAAAATAGATTTCATACAAAGTAACCTAATAATTCTCAACACACTTTCAAAAGAGCTCTATCAAATCCTAGAGGTTATATCCTAAAAGTCCATCGATGAATACTCATTGTCATTCCAATGGAAATCTGCACTTGTAGTCCCGATCTTGAAAGGCCATGGGTCAATCCCTGCCAATTATAGGCCAAATTCCTTAACATGTGTTTTGTTTAAGGTTATGGAACACATAGTGTCCTCTTCCATTATCAAACATTTTACCAACCATAACATCCTTTACCACCTCCATCATGGTTTCAGGGGAAAAAAGATCATGTGTTACGCAACTTAATTGGTAAATGACCCAGCCACCTCAGTCTATGAGAAAAAAAACAAGTATACTAGTATCTGATTCTCTTAGATTTCAGTAAGACTTTTCATAAGGTCAGTCATGAGCGAGTACTGCTAAAAATACACGACTATGGAGTCAGAGACCAAACTTTAAGAAGTATAGATGCTAGCTCCCAAACAAAAAAAAGATAGGAATGAATCAGTATAATAAATGATAAACAAATTTACCATTTATTCACAATTTATTATAGATGGAAATGACATGCAAATGAGCCAATGCATTATAAATAAATTGTTAATAAATCAGTGAAATGAATTGGTAATGAATTGGGTCCATTTACCAACTTATTTATAAATTGTTAATAAATCAGGTTAACAAATGGGTAATGAATTTGGTCCTTTTCTTGACTTAGTCAATGAATTATCAACAAATCAGGCCAATCTGTTATAAGCAAGTTATGAACATCTGAAGTACAATGAATATGTTATGAATTGTATTGAATAAATCCTGGAAAATCTCTGATTAAACAACTTGTGAATATCTTAGAACTTTAAAGTGTAATGAATTTGTAATAAATGGTATTAAATGCAGTCGGAAAAAGTTCTATTTCCAATAAATCATGAATAAATTGTATACATTCCAGTACAAGTGTAATGAATTTGCAATAAATTGTATTGAATATATTTCATGTTTGTAATCAATGGTTAATAAATTTGTCTTTTGTAATGAATCTATAATAAATGGGGTCTTTACTTTCCAGTAAAAGCACAATTTATGTATGATTCATTTAATGAATCATGAACAAATTGTATTAACAAATCAGGAAAACATGATTTATTCCAGATTTATTCACAATTTTGATATGATTTGTTGATGTATTTTTTTGTTTGGGCTAGGTTATTCCTTTTTCTAAAAGATTCACTATCGTCTGCTTGCTATCCACATAGAAGAATAAGTGACCGAACATCACGCCATGGCCATCCACTGTGTTACAGATTATTCTCAGCAACTTCAGACTATTATAAATTCTCATTTTTTCCTAGGACTTTATATGCCACTGGAACCACATACCCCCTGCAGCTGCTCTACACCATACTCTTGAGAAGTTCAGTGCAGCCGTACATTACATCAACCATGTCTCACCATAGTTTTCAAGCCCACCCCTTGTTTTTTACCATTTTCAATATTTTTCTATTATTTTCTTTTTTAACTTTGCCTACTATTTCGACGAGCAGACATGTCTAATTTCCCGTGAGGGATTTGATATTAATGGAAAATAGATTTATATAGAAATTAAGCAAATAAATGGAGAATAACCATAATGATTATTTTTGAAAATAAATATTATTCTTTTTTGATAAGATATGCGTACAAACTGCAATATTAATATAAATATAAACATTATATTTCATTCTTTTACCCACTTTCGTCAGAAAAAGTCACTTTCGTATTTTAGTCAAATATAGATGTTATTTTTCATATGAACTTATTATCATATATCATTTGTTTTCGTATATATAATTTTCATACAGATCTTTTTTATACTGGTTGGAGAGATAACGAGCCGACACTTAATCATATATTTTTGCAATATCTTAATTATCTTCCTTTATATTTTAAATATTGAACCACCTGACCAAAGTTCAGTTCAAAGACTTTACAGTTCAAAGACTTTGCACTACAAAAATAATGTATGAAAAAAGAAACTGGTACTTCTTTAAGGTCCTGAATGAGGTATACAAAACATGGCCTTTTTACCCCATAACAGTAGATAAAGTCGACAAAAAAAAATTAAGTAAAAAATGATCGGAAAATTAGCATCAATAATTTCTTTTACATCTTTTATCTATTCTTTGTTGACAAAAAAAAACAAACAATTTTTCAAAAGAATTCCCAAGTGGTCAATACAATTCTAACTACCTTATTGTAATTTGGTTAAAAGAACGTTTTGAAACAGTTTTTGCCAACGAAAAGTTTAGGTCCTTTGAAAAAAATTAAAAAGTTTACCAACTTCCAAAAAAATATCACATTCTGTCTTACTCATATACTACTGGGTGACTATACTGTATGCTTGTTTGTTGAAAAACAAAGTTATAACAATTATATTTATCAAGTGTTATCTATATATATATATATATGTCGTTTTTTTATTTTACTTTTTTTATTCGTTTGGGTTGTCAGACCAAACAAATAATGGTAGCGAAATTTCAGACCCTGATGTGCTTATTTGCAAAAACCAAAAGTAGTCCTAACTCCTCGAAGCCGTTACTTCCCTTTATATGTACACTTACGCCGAAAAATTAAGGGGAGATCACTGCGTAAAGATTGTCATCAGTGTTAAACAACAGGTTTACCGTGAACGAAATATATCGAAATTAATAAGGGTTACAAACCCTAATTTAGAATAATACGTTTTGTTTTTTTCAGGCTGTTATCTTACAACTTGACCGTGGTCGAGGGGTTTACACGCTCGCTTTTGAAGCGAGAGGTCTGGAGTTAAAATGCCAGTTAAGGCGACTCATCTCATGTTGTTTTTGTTTTGTTTTTTAATTAATTGTTTAAGCCAAATAAACTTTGAATTGAATATCAGTGTTGCAATTAGTCTTAAAGCCAATTTACTACAATCATAACACTTACAAGATACAAGATACAAGAAACTTTATTTTAAGTCGGTTTACATATTACAATAAACATTAGCTAATAAGCTATTTACCGACAATAACAAAGGCATAAAACATATTTACTAACATATAACAGTTCTGAAAGTAAAAACATATAAACTATTAGCAGCTTTAAGCATGAAATAAAAGTATCAAGGTTAAGAAGAACTTTACAATAAGATGGTAAATTAAGGCATAGTTTGATGACATGCACAGTACATGTTGTATTAAAAGTAATAACAGTTTCTAAAAGTAATACAGTAAATGATTGTAGTCTAGAAATTAAAGTATGATACATAGCAATGTGAAATAAGAATAATAGATCTAATGAAATTTAAAAATTAATAAAAATAGTAATAGTTTTAAGTTAACATCTACAATTTATAAATACGTAATTGGAGGATTCCTAAAAAATAAATAAATAAATAAATAAATAAATAGATTAAATAAAACTTACTTATAAAAGTGCATAAAAATTTATGATAGAACTAATACAGCATAAAAAAGAAACAAGATAAAGCACATTCAGGGTAACAAACAAAGTTAACTAAAATTAAGTTGCATGCACAGCCTAATGGAATGGGGAATAAGGAGTTTTAATATGAACAAAGCATACAGATCATACAACAAAGACTCAGCTAGCATAAATATAGGGTTTAAAGAAAATTAACACATTTTACACTTGAATTAAACAGCATTGGTGGCACTATACAAAAACAAATTGGTTATAATCTCACAACCTTCACCTTTCCCAAACAAATTCAGCGCCTTCTGTGCTTTGATTTTTCCCCATACATATCTTATTTTCGTAAAGAGGTTATTTTAACAATTGACCTTATTTTCGGCCTCGGTCTTATTTTCGCGAAAATATCTAATTTTCGGTAGCCATCAACGGCCATACCGCTGCTTTATGACAGTTCGCTGAAATATCATTTTTCACAACGTAAAAGTATAATTTATCGCACCGGCATCATGGCCGAGTTTTGAAAAATCATTTCATGTAAAACACAAAAATGAGTAAAATAAAGCGAAAGGTGACAGTTGATCCTGTAAGTGGATCGTCTGATGATAGGAAAAAACCCAGCGTGTTTGAAAGACTCGGTCCTGGAGCTGTCCGACGACAAGTTGGAAGTTACGACGATTCTGATTCTGATGTGAGACTTTTTTTCTAAAAGATATTTTTTTACACTGAAAACACCCCAGACAGTAGATTTTTTGCTGTTTTTTGCGTATGATTTGTAGTTAATATACACCACAATCACAATGTGGTGTTTATTTCGAGAGATATTTCTACATAATATGAAAAAGGCAAATAATCAAAGCGAGCTCGATTTTCTTTTACCGTAAGAGTTTAAAATAATCGTTCATTTTTATTTTACATTTTCCGTTTTAAAATTGTCATTCGGTATTTTATACACTGCTTCCGTTTATTCTGGTTCTTCCTTTCTATTATGGTTCCTATATAAGTGCGCAGGACACCAGTCAACGCTTCCGTTTTCAATCAGAGTACATCGGCTTTTATCGTTATCTTGTAATTTAAAAAGTTGCAAAGTTTCCAATTCGGTACTTCGGACGAAAGTTTTCAAAACCATCACTTAGCAGGTACTCGCGTTACCGTAAAGCTTGCTTTAATAGTATGGAATCATCATATGAAACTAATATGAAATTAGGTGCTACCTATGGCGCAGAAAGCTCTTATGAATTATGATTTTAGCATAACATGTTTAGAGATCTTTCTTTAAACAAAAGAATAAATTGGTGGTGTTCAACCTATCATCGGACGCTCGGACCATTCCATTAATCTACAAACGTAAAGGGGGACCACTGCACATGCTTCTGCGTTTGGAAAATCCCGTCCGCCATTTTCGTTAATCTCTAATCACAGTTGTTGTTTTAACGTTGTTTTTTAATGGGCTAATTTATCAAAAAGGATAATTATGTTAAAGTAACTTTTTATATTTATTATCGTTACTATAGTAATTATCAATGAAATGCATGTTTACTTTCTGATTTTGCACATCATTCTTTCACCGGAAGTGTTATTTAGCATGCGTCTGCTAGCAATAGTCTAAATTATGTAGACGCTCACTAAAAGTGCTCTGAAATCTATATTTAGCTCAAAAGGATTTCAAAATGGCGGCGCCCAGTTAACTAATGATTTTTTCACAGCTCATTAAGTATAGGATATATATTTTTTTGAAATTTTCATTTACTTTTAATTTGATTTCATTTGCATTGATACGCGTCATACATGTTATCAAAGAGTGCTACAGCACACGCGGGGCCTTTGCCCCCGCTCGGAATTTTCCGCATATAACAAACCTTTTTTTCCGATATGTCAAATAATGAAAAAAACTGGTGTAGCAGATTGCACCCCTTTTATTTTTGTACAAAGTATTTTCATTGGTCATTTGAAAACCTCAGACCAATGGAACTACTCCATACAATGTCAAAGAAGTATTTGAAAGTTTTTAGATATATAATTAGTCCCCTACAGGTTTACCAGAGGGGACTATAGGTTTACCCTCCGTCCGTCTGTCCATCCGTCAGTCCGTCCGTCCGTCAGTCCGTCCGTCCACAAAACTGGATCCCGCGATAACGCAAAAAGTACTGAAAATATTTTAATGAAACTTGATATATGGATAGATGGCAGTATGGAGATTATGCACATCTTTTTCTTTTCTTCCTATGTTGAAAATTCTGGTTGCTATGGCAACAAATAGACTGAAAATATGGCAAATTTTACACATAACCTGGATCTCGCGATAACGCAAAAAGTACTGAAAATATTTTTATGAAACTTGATATATGGATAGATGGCAGTATGGAGATTATGCACGTCATTTTCTTCTCTTCCTATGTTGAAAATTCTGGTTGTATGGCAACAAATAGACTGAAAATATGGCAAACTTTACACATAACCTGGATCCAGTGATAACACAAAAAGTACTGAAAATATGTTTATGAAACTTGACATATGGGTAGATGGCAGTATGGAAATTATGCACATCTTTTTTTATCTTCCAATGTTAAAATTCTGGTTGCTATGGCAACAAATAGACTGAATTTCAAGATTTCTGATTCTAGTTTTTAAGTTTTTTCACTATAAGTTCTTTATTTCTTAAGGTATTTTCTTCAAACTTTAAATATAAGTTGCTTGTCATCAACCACGTCATATGTGACAAGGTTTACAACTTCTAGCACAAAATTATCAGAATTACCTCCCTTGAACTTAAAATTTTCATGAAAAAAACATTGTTTTTTTTAATAACTTCTTTTTTTGAATGTATCTACTTCAAACTTCATATAAATGTTTCTTATTGTCACTCAACATTTGTGAGTGTTCAATACTCTAGCAAGACTATTTCCAGAATTATGCCCCTTTTGAACTTAGACTTTTTTTTGAGAAATTGGTAATTTTTACTCCAACTTCTTCATCATGATAGGATTTTAAAAATGTTATATTTTGATAAACAGGGATGTTTAAAAAAATAACTTTAGAGTGTCCTTCAGTCCGTCTGTCTGTACATAAAAACTGTTTCCTGTGATCACTTTTAAAGAACTTTTTCAACAAATTTACTTAAAATAGGAACCTAAGTGAATGGCCAATGGCCCTTCAGAATGTTGCTTGGGCTCTTACCGGTAGGGGACTTATGGATTGCTTGCAATACTATGATAATTGCTTGCTTATTTAACAAATGCATAAATTGTATTGCAAGTTTGTTATATGCCAGAAAAAATTTCGGACATGTTATGTAATACCCCTGGGGTCTGTCCGTCCGTCCGTCTGTCTGTCTGTCCATCCATACGAACCCAGAGGTACTTGTGTAACTTGGAGAACAATGGGTAACAGTAGATTCTCTTTGATCCTATTCATTACGTTTTTACTTGTGTGTCTTTTTTTAAAGCCTTGTGTGACTAAAAATGGCCAAAATGATCAAAGGAAAAGTCACATAAGTACCATTTTGTGAGTATGTCCGTCTGTCCGTCCGTTAGCAATTTGGTTTCCGAAGCATAACTTAAGTTCCATTTGGCCCACAGTATTCAAACTTCATAGGATGATTGTCCATATTGGGTAGAAGACCCCTATTGATTTTGGGGTCACAAGGTTAAAGGTCAAGGTCACTATGACCCTAAAACTGAAAATGGTTTCCGGAGCATACTTACACAGTATTCAAATTTCATAGGATGATTGTCCATATTGGAAAGAAGACCCCTATTGATTTTGGGGTCACAAGGTCAAAGGTCAAAGTCAGCATTTTTACTTACAAGATAACAAATTGATGGTGGTGCTTTGAAAACAGCAACTGTTTATATATGATGGTTCTTCAGCTATATAGGAGGATGGTAATACTGTATTTACTTCCTATGTTTTACAAATGCTTCATCCTTACTTTCGGGCATATAATGCTCCTCCTAGCGGTGCTCTTGTTTGATATTGTTGCGCACATGCAATATTTCAAAATAAGAATAATAAATGGACAAATGAATAGCACATTGCATATAAACAATCAATGCAGGTATGTTACTGAATTCATTATTGCCTTTTACTATTTGCAAGAAATGTATGCAAGCATAATATTCTCATAATGATGTAGTTATATATTTGGTAGATTTTTGTAAATGGTTCGCATAAAGTGCAAAATAATTTTTTAATGTCTCATGAACACTCCTTGTTTCAAAGGGAGACACAGGCCAAATTTTCATATCTTCGATTTGAATTGTTCTTTCAATATTCTATAAATGTTAAATGTCCATTAAATGAATACAGTTAGCAGTCTAGGGAACAACATTTTCTGCATATAAAGAAAAAAATGTTGGTTTCCTAACCTGACCCACGTGGGTAAGGTTAGAGCATTTAGATATCACAATGGTTATCACAGTGAACTACAGGAATGAAAAAGGACCTGTCAAATGAGCGACTTAGACTTGTTTTAATCTTACAATATTCACAATATCTGTTTTTTAACTTCCAAGGTTTTTTATTGTCAAATGACTTGTTTTAAAACTACTTATTGATTCTGTCTGCGTCTTCATTTCGTTCAACATAAAATTATGTAGATTTATTTTATAATTTATTAATTTACCTGTCATAGTCAGATTATATAGTATTTATACAGAAAAAAAAACACGCTTGGACTTTTAAAAACTCCATTTTAAAGTGATTTGAGTAAATATGATAAATCTAATATTTTGTCATTCATTTGCCTGAGTATAAATATGTATTTGCAAATGTCTTTTTATGCCACCGCAGCATCTGCGATGCGGTGGCATATAGCGATTCACCTGTGTGTTTGTTTGTGTGTGTGTGTGTGTGTTATATAGATTATATAGTGAACTTAAAAAATCTTCTTGTGAAAAACCACTTGTCCAATTTCAACCAAACTTGGCAGGATTGATCCTTGGGTGAAGGGCTTCCAAAGTTGTTCAAAGAATTTCATTCCATGCAGAAATCTGGTTGCCATGGCAACCAAAAGGAATTATAAGAATAAATTTAAAAAATCTTCTTGTAAAGACTCAAAAGGCCTAGAGCTTAGATATTTTGCATAAGGCATTGTCTTGTAGACCTCTACCAAGATTGTTCAAATTATAACCATGGGGTCAAAATCGGCCCCGCCCCGGGGGTCATTGATTTTCACTATATGTACATATAGTAAAAACTTAAAATAACTTCTTGTAAAGACCCAAAAGGCCTAGAGCTTAGATATTTTGCATAAGGCATTGTCTGGTAGACCTCTACCAAGATTATTTCAAATAATAACCCTGGGGTCAAAATCGGCCCCGCCCCGGGGGTCATTGATTTTCACTATATGTACATATAGTAAAAACTTAAAATAACTTCTTGTAAAGACCCAAAAGGCCTAGAGCTTAGATATTTTGCATAAGGCATTGTCTGATAGACCCTTACCAAAATTGTTCAAATTATAGCCCTGGGGTCAAAATCAGCTCCGCCCCGGGGGTCATTGATTTTCACTATATGTACATATAGTAAAAACTTAAAATACCTTCTTGTAAAGACCCAAAAGGCCTAGAGCTTAGATATTTTGCATAAGGCATTGTCTGGTAGACCTCTACTCAGTTTGTTCAAATTATAGCCCTGGGGTCAAAATCGGCCCTGCCCCTGGGGTCATTGGTTTTCCTTATATGTATATAGAAAAAACTTTATAGTAAAAAAATTTCTTCTAGCAAATGCTAGAGGTTAGATATTTTGCATGAAACATTGTGAAGTGAACTTCTAGCAAGATTGTTCAAATTATAGCCCTGGGGTCAAAATTGCCCCTGCCCCGGGGTCATTGATTTTCAATATATACATATAGTAAAAAATAAAAAAATCTTATTGTCTGAAGGCTTAGAGCTTGAATATTTGTTAAATGATATCATCTATAGGTACTCTACCAAAGTTGTTCAAATTTTGCCTCTTGTGTCAAAATTAGCCCCGCCCCATGGGCCATAGGTTTTCCTTATATGTATATAGTAAAAACTTTAAAAATCATCTTCTCTAAATTTACAAAGGCTAGAGTTAAGATATTTTGCATGAAACATTATGTAGTGAACCTCTAGCAAGATTGTACACATTATAGCCCTGAGGTCAAAATTAGCCCCACCCCCAGGAGTCATTGATTTTTACTATGTACATATAGTAAAAAAAAAGAAAAGAAATATTTTTGTCTGAAGGTACAAGGCATAGAGCTTTGATGTTTGCTATATAATATATTCTATGGGTTCTCTACTAAAGTTGTTTTAATAATGCCCCTAGTGTTAAAATTGGCCCTGCCCAGGGGCAGTGATTCTCATTATGTTCACATAGTAAAAACAGAAAATAAAACAAATCTTTTCTGAATAGGAGAAAGCTACAGCTTAGATATTTGACTTGAAATGTTGTTTGGTGGACCTGTATCAAGATTGTTTTGAATTAAACCCTTGGGTCCAAAATTTTGCCTTGCCCAAGGGGGCAGTGACCTACTTTCTTGTCCTTTAATGTACAGCAATGAAATTTTGACCATGTGCACAGTTTTAGTTGTAAAATTGAACTTTGATATCAGGTGAACTAGATTTTGATGATGTGACCTACTTTCTTGTCCTTTGATGTACAGCTATGAAATTTGAACCATGTGTACAGATTAAGATGTTAAGTGAACTTTGATTTCAGCTGACCTAGATTTTTGACAAAGTGTCTTACTATTTTGTCCTTTGATGTAGTCATGAAATTTAGGCTGTGTGAAATATGACCTTCACCACCAAATTCACTAGACTCAAGTGCATTGATATATTCCTACTCTGATCTTTTATTGAGTTAACAACAGATTTAACCACTAATCTGATAATAAGAATTAGATAGGTCAGGGATCTATGCATTATGACAATCTTCAAAATTGTATAGAAACAAAGAAAACCTGTTCCTACACTACTATTTAGTGTTGTATTAATGCGGTGGCATAGCATTTTTCTCAAATGCAATCTTGTTATAACCATTATATTGATACAGCGTGATGAATATGTGCAGAGATGTCGTAATTGGGTCAGCACGGGCTCCTGTCCATATGGAAATAAATGCAAGTTTCTTCATGGACCATACACTTCATCATCAAAGCACAAAGGGTAATTATTGTATTTAAACCTTTAACCTGCTATAACTAACTGAAAGTGATAAGCCATTGCACAGAGTCATAGTACAGAGCCAGGCCAGCTGGAATATCCATGCAGATTGACGAGGCTCTATTCTGTTGGCTGATCAACTTAAAAAAAAAATTTCTTCATGATACCCCTAATATTGATAATAGATAGTTCTAGAAATAGGAGCTGGACAAGTCTATTAAAAAAGAGATTGAAAATTCCACTTGTCAGCTCGTAATTACAAGTAGAATTTAAGAGAACTTGATTGAAGAAAAGTAGAAAAATGTTGCCTGCACATTGGATTTAGAAGCTACTCATCCTGCAGGACGAGTGATTTTTAAAATATTTTTCGATGGCTGTTATATCAATTACCACTCAATATTGTTGGTTCAAATCCTACCAGGGTTATGGATTCTTTCATGTGGTGAATCTATTTTGCTAACTTGTGCCAGGTTGTGTTTCTACTCAGGTAGATGTGATTGCATCTTCTGCCATCTTCTGTGAAAATGGAAAGTCTGCATAATACCTTTACAATGTTGTTATGACTAAATGACTTTCAACTCGGCCACAAAACATTTCTTTCAAGTGATTCTCAAATTTCACTTTTGATACTTGTTTTTTTTATATATATATTTATACCCACACCTGTTAGATCTGTAAGAAGTGAATGGAAAAAATTAATGAATTTTGAATAATATTATTTACATATTATAATTTTCAATCATTTTTATACAATTTAAAGGAGACGTGAGGATGAAGGTCAGGAAGATTTGCGGCTAAGAGTGAAACAAAAGAAACACAAAGGTGGTGATAAAAGCGATTCCGATGATTCAGTCGAACGTAGCAGAAGCAGGTCAAAGAAAGACAAAATTGCGGCTTTGAAATCGGCGATCATTAAAAAGAAAGGAATGGTCGGAAGTGATTCGGAGTCACCTAGTCAGTGGTCTGGAGATGGTAAAAATAAAATTTTAGTTTTTATTGATATGTATTATCAAGTTGACTTTGTGGACCACAGTGAAATCTCATATATTTTGAATGTATAGTAACCCTTGAATGACCATGATTTGACACCATTGGCAGTTTTTACAGTCTAAGTTTTTATATACTCTTCAATTCAGCTTTTTTAAAACCTCTATTCTAATACAAAATAGAATATAACAAATATAACAAAAATAGCATTGAATTAAGGACATGGATATCATGAAATCAGAAATTTTCATTGGGGATTAAATTTCACTGACTAAAGTCACTTTGTGAATTTAAGATTTTGGCGAAAATAAATGTTGCAAGGTACCGGGGCCAAATTAAAAATATTCCTTGTTTGCTGTCTCCCTATCTTGCTTTGTGAGTTTGGGTAGGTAGGTAGGCAGAATATTTTTTATTCTAAAAATTGTACATAGTTATCCTTATATTTCTCATGAGAAAGTAAAATGCTATAAACAGTGTTTAAACCTTCTGATTTATATTTTCTATCTTCTGTTTTCCATATCAAAGTACTATTCTGTTAACAAACTGGTTGGTTTATGTGAGTTGAATGAGTGGGGATAATTAATAAAAAATTTCTTGCTCAGGAGGCAATAAAAACTTTTGGGCAGACCTCTTTTTTATGGGTAGGTAGGGAGACAGCAAACAAACATATTTTTAATTCTGGCCCGGTAGTTTTAATAGAACTGAAAGCATTTACAATTTTTATGGTACCTGTAGTCTGCATGGGAAAATAGTTAAATGTTTACTTAGTATATCAATGTAAATTTTGACAATTTCAGATCTTGACTTTAAGAAAGAACTAGAGCTAGAAAAGAGACGTCAACAGTTACAGCGAGAACTGAGCCGTCTCGAGGACGAGGAAGATCCAGCGAGGGAAAACTTTATCATAGAGAAAAAATTGATGAGACAACAACTAATGGTATTATAAGCAAAAATATGTCATTTTATTTTGTATTTTACTTGTACAGTGTAATTTCTGAAAATCGAACACCTGTGGGACTAGCCAAAAAGTTTAGATTTTGGAAGTTTCCGGAATTCAGAAGTTGGGAATTATCTGAGCAAATAGAAGCATTGATTATTAGCAGTGGCACGCCTTACAATCACCTTGTTTTCACAACCAATTCGCTAGTACGGCCAATTTCTCAAAGAACCAATTTATTTCATCTTATTTTCAATCCTAAATTGAGCCAGAGATCACTGGTTCTGAGTATATTGTAACAACCATTAAATTTTTACCTCAAATTACAACAGTACATGTTAATTTCAGGTAGCCGCTTGAGAGAGGGGTTTAAATAAACTCAGATCTATTTTTAGCTCGACTTTTTTTTTTTTGGAAAAAAAAAGTAGAGGTATTGTTATAGTCAGGTCGGCGTTGCCGTTGCCGTCTCAGTTGCCGTTGCCGTCCGAAAACTTGTACCTGGATCATAACTTTTTTATTTCTTGGTGTATTGTCTTCATACTTGGCCACAACAACCCTTGGGACAAGACCTTTCAGTAGACCACACTAACCTTGACCTTCATCCATAAATGACCTTGACCTTCAAGGTTAAAAGTCCAATTTTTGCTTGTTCATGCTGTTATTGGCTGTTACTTTGTTATTTTTTGAATGGATTGTCTTCAAACTTGAACATAATAATCTTCAAGGATATCCCTTAAAAATAACCAGTCAGACCTTGACATTCACTCATCAATGACCTTGACTTTGAAGGTCAAATTATTTGAAATTTTCATTTTTTTTTGGCTATTATTGGCTGTAACTTTGTTATTTTTGAATGGATTGTCTTCAAACTTGAACATAATAATCTTCAAAGATAACTGTTAAAATATACCGAAAGACCTTGACCTTCACTCATTAATGACATTGCCTTTGAAGGTCAAATTATTGAAATTTTCATTGTTTTGGGCAGTAACTGACTGTAACTTTGCTATTTTTGAAGGGATAAACTTCATATCATAACAGAACATTCTTAAGGACCAGACCTTGTTGTTTATCAAACCCAAATTTGCTTGGGCTCTTTAATGACCTTGACCTTGAAGGTTATATTACTGAATTTTCTCAGATTGTGCATTTATTGGTGTGTGTGTATGTATAGTATATGTATTATATATATATATATATATATAAATGTGTGTGTATATATATATACATATATGCGATAAATATATATATATCAAATATATATATATATCAAATATATATATATATATATATACATATATAGATATATATATATATATATCAATATATATATATATATATATCAAATATATATATATATATCAAATATATATATATATATACATGTATATAATTGCGTCATGTTTTTCTATTTTTAGAAATTGCGTCATTTTTTCTATTTTTAGAAATTGCGTCATTGTTGCTATTTTTAGAATTTGCGTCATTTTTTTCTATTTTTAGAAATTGCGTCATTGTTGCTATTTTTAGAATTTGCGTCATTTTTTTCTATTTTTAGAAATTGCGTCATTTTTGTTCTATTTTTAGAAATTGCGTCATGTTTTTCTATTTTTAGAAATTGCGTCATTTTTTTTCTATTTTTAGAAATTGCATCATGTTTTTCTATTTTTAGAAATTGCGTCATGTTTTTCTATTTTTAGAAATTGCGTCATTTTTTCTATTTTTAGAAATTGCTTCATTTTTTTTCTATTTTTATAAATTGCATCATGTTTTTCTATTTTTAGAAATTGCGTCATTTTTTCTATTTTTAGAAATTGTGTCATTGTTGCTATTTTTAGAGTTTGCGTCATTTTTTTCTATTTTTAGAAATTGCGTCATTGTTGCTATTTTTAGAAATTGCGTCATTTTTTTCTTTTTTTAGAAATTGCGTCATTTTTGTTCTATTTTTAGAAATTGCGTCATTTTTTCTATTTTTAGAAATTGCGTCATTGTTGCTATTTTTAGTAATTGCGTCATTTTTTTCTATTTTTAGAAATTGCGTCATTGTTCCTATTTTTAGAAATTGCGTCATTGTTGCTATTTTTAGAAATTGCGTACTGTTGCTATTTTTAGAAATATGCTTAATGTTTCTATTCATATATATACAAAATATATAAACAAAACTAATGTGACAAGACAGACCAACTAAATTTATAAAAAGGAAACATCAATATATGTTCAAACCTTTCTATGTTTGCGTTTAGAAAAAGTAAAAAGTCGAGCGTTGCCCCCGCCCGGCGGTGGCTCTTGTTATAATTTAGCTTAAATGTGTATGTTAAAATCTTAAAAAAGATAAATTTTTAAAATTTGAAAGCGATAAATGCATCTAGTTATTAGACTAATTAATATTGCACTGTGGGAAATGATTTGTGGGTTTTGTAATTACAGCAACGAGTCAGCAGTTCGGAATCAGACAGCTCTGATGACAGAAGTCGTAGTCGAAGCAGAAAGGCAGGGTGAGAGTCAAACATAATCATTTTATAAGATATCTTCTATGGCAGATTTCAAACATTTGGAATTATATGTACATAAATATTTAAGCTTACCAGAGCACATAGAGGTCAAGGGAGAGCTATTTGGATTGGTCTTAAGTCTATTGTTCATTGTCTACAGTTTTCTAGATTATTTACATAAGTACTTTTTTGTGTCAAACTTCAATTAGTCGATTTTCTTGATGTGTCGAAATAAAATGCATTTACCAATTTTTACCCTATATATTCTTTATTAAAACATTACTTGTATAAGTTTTGTTTGAGAATCACATGGATTATTTATTATAAGCTTTCTTATTTTTTAAGCTTTTTGTAAACCGTTTTGTAAATGTTGACAGCTCAAAATTTTTCCATTAAATTGACACCGATTCATGAGTCTAAGCCTTGATGTGTCAAAGTTTTACCAACTCTCTTCAACTTTGTCTTAGGTCAAAATATCAACAGTTTTTTTTGTATCTCTCTTAAGCATTATACAATATGTAATTTTTTTCCTGTCACATTGTATTTGTTCGTGTTATGCATTCAGTTTGATATAGCAAAACATAAACAGGTGTATTAGATAGGGCATCATAACATTTGTTTTTGGATGTTGTTGATGTTTCTTGCTGTTGCCATGGTAACTCTATATTATGTATTATTTTGCACATACAGAAAGAAAAAGAAGAAAAGGAACAAACATTCCAGGTCACCAGCCAAGGGAAAGGGAGGACGGAGTCCAAGCCCTGGGTACTGTATTGTTGCATAATTAAAATATTTGAAATATGTGATATACCAATATTTTTTCTAGTTTAATAGTAGTTTGTTACAATCATTTGCATATTTCATGCCTTGGTTTAATAAAAAACTGTAACTAAAATATAAATTCAATGGGGGTCATT